TCGTTAATCTTTGAAAGAAAAACTTTTAGAGGAAATAGCAAGAGAGAATGAAAGAAGGAGTTAAGACGTGGAATTTCAATTTGTTCTTTATACTCGTGAAATTCTTCGGTGTTTCCAAAGAAAATTTTAATGAAAAACGGTATCGAAAAACGGAACGAAAATGTGAAATTTCATTTCATTCTTCGTATAAGAGTTAGATACGTTAAAAACGTTTCGTTGAAACAAGGAAAATGTTATAAAAAAGGCAGAATATTATTTAGACCCGTTTTTCGTATAACATAAACGCGTGTTAAAATAAACATAAACGTCGCATATGAGAAAAAAGAAAATGATAGTGGATTGAATGATAGTGGAAGAAGAAAGAACGTTGTGTTATTCGTTCAAATTAGTAATGCTCAATAGAAATTAATAACTAATAACGAATATGATCCAATATTGTCTTTATGAGAGATAAAGTGAGTTATAAAATATTTATGAGAAATAAATTAAACTATAAAAAGAGGATAAACTTGTATGGAAAGTATTTTCTTATCCATTCTGTATTTCGTCACGTTTCATACGTTTTATTTCATCGTAAAAATAATAATAATTGTTAACGTACGTTCCCATTGTAGCACCATAATTAGAAACAATTAAGACAGGATGAAGCATCTCGATGTCTTTAAAGTTTCGCAATGATCGATAATAATAAACGGCCAATCAATTTCCTCGGTTTCGAACGGCGATTATTTCATTATTCTGCTCCTTGATTTAAAATGTAAAACAGCAAGATGAAACATTTGAACAAAACTCTGATGAAACATTTTATAAAATTACGGCAATTATTATTGCGACTCGTAGATCTGTCATGAATAAAATAAATATATATTTGTAAAGAGGAAACATTTTCTTTTTTTTTTTTTTTTTTTCCTAAATGAATTTAATCACTTTTACTTGACGATTGGGAAGAAATAAAAATTTTCTCTCTTGGACTTCACATTTATATTTTTTTCTCTCTAATTAAATCTTGAACTTGATATTATATATTACCAGTGAAATACTGAATTCACAGGAAAAACTTGAATAAAGTCAGATCATCGTACGCAAGTGATGAGCCAACAAGGGGGATTCTATTATATATCTAAATACGCGACTTTATCTATTTATCATCAGATTTCACAACGTGAGAAATCGTTTTCACTTTGAACATGATTAAATCCATTAATGTCGTTTCGACATTTAAGTGTTAGATTATGGCTTCTCGAGTAAAATACCTTGTCTTTAACGCTATTGATCGTGTGCAAATAGGTCGAATTTCAAACGTGCATTTATCTATATACCCAATATACTTGTAACTATTTTCTATCCTGTTCCAAATTTTTTCTTTTTTTTTTTTTTGGTAGAAACCTTTCGCGATGGTATTTTAATTATACAACACGTTCTTTCGACGAAAGATAACTTATTGATTTGAACAAGCGAAGTTAATCCGGCGCCATACGACCGCGACCATAAATCTTGAGTAGAGATTTAATGAAATAGTTTCCAGAGAGATATTTCCTCGAACGGTTTTAAAAGAGAGAATCCCCCGTTTCATATCTTCTTTCGCCGAGATCATTGTTCCATTCAAAAGTAAATGAGAGGGATGAAACGAGACGAGTGATAAACTCGTGGTTACGGAAATTAATTCGCTTAAGAAATATCCTTTTATCTTGTAATGAACCCGTTCCAACCTTTCTCCGTTACACTTTTCTTCGTTTGAAAACTTTTTCAACGATCGGATTGTTTTTATCCAAAGCATCGATTCGCGCATCTGGAGTTTTATTAATTCAACAAATTTATCGAGTTCGAAAACTTCGAAAATTTGGGCTCGAAGTCTGTGTGAAACGAAAACAAGAGACGGTGTGTTAAAATAGTATAAAATTATCATCTTATGGTAAATAATACGGTGCAATAATGGCGTTATTGGAAAATCAATTTGCGCAACAGCGCCTTTCTAGAATGATAAAGCGAAGAAAAGAAACGTCGGACAAAAGGAGAGGATCACCTGCGGGGAAACCGACGAAGAAAGTAACTTGTCCACGAGGTGGATGAATGGTATTTTCACCGATATTTTTACACAGAAGCGTTCCTTTATCTCGCTCCAACTTGCACAAGCTTGTAGGGAACGGGTCAACCAGAGTTTCTGACATTTCCCCGGTAAATTGGGTCGCGCGATAAATCCTGAGGAATACAGGTCAGAGCAAATTCTTCGAACATTAGACGAAGAAAGGCGAAAATGGAATCGATTGCACACGATCGAATTAATCAATTAAATGTATGCAGCAACGATATTTTTAATTAAAAAATATTTCGCTAAACTTGAAACGACTCGTTTATTGTTATTAAAAGAACGTAGGATTTAAACTCAGAATTGTATAGATATAGACATATATCGCCTGGCATAACGTTTTCAACGATTGCTTGTTGGAAATAAATAAAATCTATAGAAATGGAATAAAAAAAAATAATACAAAAGATGAAGTATTTTTCCAAGAGAAATGATAATTTTTCTCGAATTGGTATAAGGCTCCGATTCATTCGTTCACATGACAAACGTGCACTTTGAACAGACAGTTAAACGGCCATCTCGCCGGAGAGTGAAATGCACTTTTGAACGAAGAAGAACGCGGCGCTACGTGTTTCCTCTTTATGCGTCTGCGGCTGAATGGAATTGCAGGCGTCAAAGGGAAATTGCGCGGACGAGTGAGAAGATTGCCGCATAGAACGAAATCACGTGGTGACACCTTGAGAGAAACACGTTAGATCCCACGATAGAGCCACGCCACGTTCGACAGGGCGTGGCCCTCGATGGGATCGATACCATAAAAAGCTCACTGCACCTTCAACTTCTTTGATAAAGTGGGCAAGTACGTTTTATGCAAATCATCCTCGACTTCCGTGGGCCGCGCGTGGCCGATAACGCACGTCATCACGCACACTGCGTCGACGTCACGACGGTATAGCGATCGTTTGTTCACAGCTGATGAAAAATACAGGAGGAATAAAAATGTGGAGGAATATTGAAATATTGCGTTAAAAAAAATATTCGAGATACTTTTAAATTCAGGAAGGATTTAATTTTCTTTGGTGTGTCATCCTAGTGGAGTGTAAAAAAATATATTCGACTAGATTTTGACGAAAGTTTTCGAAAATATGAGAATATAATGGATTCTATCTATCTTGAACGTGGGGCAATTTTGTTAAACTCTGAGAAATCTCTATCTATTCTTTTATTTTATTTTGGATAAAATTTTTGTTATGTGTATGTTCGTCGATATTTTCTGCAACTTAGACCGTTGAAATCTGAACATTTTATAATTTTAATTGGAAAATTAATATTTTTAGAAAAAGGATAAAGTTTCGTGAGCCAAAGATTATATAGAGTACAAACTGTTGATTACATACGTATGGATTTTAACATATTCATGAAGTGATATAGATATTCGGTTTAATTGCTCAATTCATTAGGCGTGTATTGGAAAATTGTTCCTATATAATCTGTTGTATGTACTTGTGTGGGTCAAATGAATATGAATTAATTAACTTCAAATAATCGCACATCATTTCTGTAAATTATAATGCAATCAGACAGAGAATTAATTAGAAAACAACAACAACGTTTTGCCTTATGATATATTAAAATGAAATTCTTAATACAATTAATAAAATTTTAATTTTCTCGTTGAAATTAATCATATCAATTACACTTATTGTAAATAACTGATTTTAAATATACGAAAATATCATTAATCTCTTCTTCTTTATATCTAAAAATAAAAACTGAGTATGACTTGTGATGAAACTGTCGAATCTAATATACCACGTTGTCCTGATATTGCATTTTTTATCTTAAAAAAAATAGGATTTTATCTCTTTATAAATCCTATTTTATCCTACTTAGATATAGTAGATATATTCACTGAGGATTTTGAAAAATACATTATGAAAGAATAACATTTAATTATTTACAATGTAATTACTTGACTTTTAATACGATTTTAATTTAAAGAAAGATCTAAAATTTAAAAGAGAAATAAAAGAACAAAAGAAAAAAAAAAAGAAGCAAAATGTTTATTCGCAAAATATTTATGGTGAATGCTCTCAAAAGAACAAAAATGTGCAGAACTAGCTATTCAAGCCCTGAAAGCATCAGTTTGGCACATTTTGTATTCTGATGTTGACGTAGCGAATATTTGATGGTACTTTGCCTGTAGTGCGAATGAAAAGAGAACAAACACCAAAAAAATAATGCCTTTCGCTTCACGAATTCTTTCCATCAACTTTTGTTGTACATCCAATAGTCTGAGAGTTAACACTTTTGCCGTTAAAATGTAATATTATCACCATTTAACTTAATAGTGTTATAATTAGTCTAACAATTAAACAACGTAAAATGAACATTAGTACTTTGTAATCGACTTGATATATACTTTCACGAAAAAAGAAAATTAAAATGAAATTAGATACATGAAAGTTATTAAATGTTTGTTGTTGAATTTTCTTAACTTTATAATAATTAACTTGATAGTTTAGCAACTAATAATACTAATGAATCGCAACGAGTAAACTTTTCTTCATAATTTCAAAATTACACATCGGATAGAAATATATCTACTTGTGATATTTATTTGTTTTATCGTAGAATTCTTTATTTCTTTAGGCAAGACTTTCGATACTAACAATTTTCAAATTTTATTCAATAATTTGTATTGCAAGAGGGTCCTGGATTGTCGATACTTTTAAAACGTTTGCACATTCGAGTATTCACAAAATCGAGAAGAACGATAATTTATAAAATTATCGAACAAGTTTTAATGTAATTGTATGGACGTGCATTCTATTCGACTCGAGAAACACCAGTGAAATAAATCTGGCCTGACTGTGCGAACCTTGAACATTATTCGTTTGCATGTTCGCCAAGAACGTCTGAATTGATTTACATGCTCGTATCGTGGGATTAAGGAATTCATTTCCATGCGCAGCACGATGCCCTCAGATAGTATGGATGACATCGAACTGAAAAATATTCAACTCCAATTTCCACCGCTGAGATGTCTGTCGAGAGATGACAGTTCCGTGCGAGAGGAAAGGGTTGAAACCGACAAAGGAAGTATTTTGGTGGCTGTGCAAGGGAATCGAGCGAAACCTGCCATTCTCACTTATCACGACTTAGGCCTTAACTGTAAGTAATCCACATTTTTTCTCTTTTCTTCTTCTTCTCTTTTTTTTTCTTTTTCAACCGTTTGTCTTATAATACTTTGTGTTTATAAAAATTGGATCATAAATCCGATCATAATTACCGGTCATGATTTTATACACGATTGCTTAATTATACGATCTCAGAATTGTTGTGTTTCTTCAACTTTTTTAGATTTCAGATTGCGAGATTTAGGGAAGGGTCAAAAGGTAAAAAAAAAAAAAAAAAAGGGACGAAATGTTATATTCTCTTTGATATCAAGAAATCGATGATGTTTGTTGCATTAATTTATATAGCAATTGATTATGTTTCTTAATATTTAAAATACGAAAGGAAACACGGATCGTCATTTTCAGATATATCGAGCTTCCAGGCGTTCTTCAATTATATCGACATGAGAGTTTTACTGGAGAATTTCTGCGTTTATCATGTGAATGCACCTGGCCAAGAAGAAGGTGCACCCACGCTGCCTGAGGAGTAAGTACACTTTCTTACATTAAATTTTTATTTACGAAATTGATATTTTTCAATTCTCTAATTTTAATCTTTTATCCTTCCCTCGGATACCTTCGACGATATTCAAACATAATTAAAAAATTAAACGTATTCGCCAATGAATATAATCGATATTATCAATTTTACATTATAATTATTTCACAATTCGAACGCATCCTCGCTCAATAATCCGCACGGAATACAAAGATGATTAATAACGGACGATTAATTGCAAAATAGCAATTCTCCATTCGCGAACAAACGAGTGCATTAATCAAAGCAACCAGGTTTAAAGTTGATAAACGAGTACCAATTGTCAATCGTGTTCGAGTTCCCCTCGAAAGTCCAGTAACGAGTCCACTAATTAACGCTCGATAACGAAAGTCGTGACGAACAAAAAAAAAGAAGAGAGAGAGAGAGAAAGTGATTTCCCTCTGACGTTCCTCACACGCGCACACGTATCAAGATCTCATTCAAGAGTATCGTGCGTCACTTAAGCATCACAGTGAATTCAATTAGTGCAAATCAATGACCTAATTAACGTTCTAATTAGTCGAAGCCCCGAGTATGTCCCTACTTTCGCGTTTACGACGGATTCTTCGCGCCTTAAGAGCGATTCTCTTTACCTTTTGCCTCATGCCTCTTCGCGGAATTCTTTCTTGCGCTTTCTCCTCCACTATCCACCGTTTCCACACTTGTACGGATTCGATCTTACCGGTTGATGCGCAGTTACCCCTTTCCTTTGTCTAATCTCTCGTGAAATCTCGTGAAACGGTTGGAGCATCGAGGTGACGAGTTTTCGAACGTCAAAGCTTATGTTGCACAAAGAAAGAGTTACACTTAAGGGGAGAAGGGTCGAATATTTTTCATTATCGTTTCTCGAGAGAGGAAAATATCGATGCTGGGATGGCCAGTTATGAATGAGAGGGGAGCGTGACACGATCGTTGAGAATCGTTTCCACGTGGTGGAATTAGAAGATTGACGGTGTCTACCTACGACATCCGATTAACCTGACCTCAAACGATCGAGGCTCGCCTCGACAGGCGCGTATGTAACTAAATAGAGTGTTACGGAATAATTTAGACTGCATTGCAGATTTTCATGCAACCCAGACAGCTAAGAAACATTATTTTTGCTCGCGTGCCAAAATCGTAAAGTATCGTACTGTGACGAGTGTCTGTTCAAGTGTGTTTGCTTTCGTTCGATTTCGTGGTTGGTGATACTTCGCGATTTCTATCAGTTGTGTAATTGGCCAGGGAAACGAGAAGAACAAGTGTTTAATCGTGAATTCGGAAATTCGTGTGTGAAAATTCGCACAAGTGATTGTAATTGTACTTCTCTTGCAAAAATTTTCCAAGATTATCTCCATTTTACAATTTACGAGCTGTTTCTTAGGCTTAATTAAATTTGCTTAGAAACGGTGTCTTATCGATCTGACGAAGGAAGAATTTATTTATAATAACGAATTGAAAATCACGCTATTTGTATCTTGTGCCTTATACTTATGTATATTTATTTATTATCAATCGAGAGGACGAGAAAAATTCGCAAGTTTAATCAACGTAGCAATTAATACGAAATCAAATATACTCGGCGTTTATCATTTCCAATCGTATCTCGTAATCTCGGGGAAATCGTAAATAAATCTGCATGTAAATCGTCAAGGGAGAGAGATACATTTCATCTCTATTAAATTGATAAATATTGACATACGTGTTATATATACCTATCTAAGATCCAGTGGAAAATTGGTTCCCCATCAATCAATTCCATTTCAAATTGGGTATTAAAGTCGTATAAAGCCTAGTTCCTTAATACAATTTAAACATTGACACAACACACAACACAATGTGTAATAACCATTAAAATTCCCTTCTTCTATATGTCATACGATAAATGATAGAACGAAGAGAATATGACGATAGCGACGTTAAATTAAAGAATATAAATCTGTATAACGTTTTATATTATTCCAGCTACGTCTATCCGTCCATGGACGAGCTGGCTGAACACTTGCTCTTCGTGTTGAGCCATTTTGGCCTGAAATCCGTAATCGGTTTTGGAGTCGGTGCAGGGGCCAACATACTAGCGAGATTCGCACTTGCTCATCCCGAGAAGGTCAATGCTCTGTGCTTGATAAATTGCGTGTCGACGCAAGCTGGTTGGATCGAATGGGGATATCAGAAACTGAACGTTCGCCACCTGAGATCGCAGGGGATGACTCAAGGTGTACTGGATTATCTGATGTGGCATCACTTTGGCAGGGTGAGAATATATATATTTATATTAATATTTCGAGCGGGGAAATCAATTCTTGGAAACAATCTTTTTCTAAAACGTTCGAGTTTGTTATTTTTAATCCGCATTTTTTGCCAGTATAATAAAACTTGTTATTTCAATTCGTAGGTATTTTTGAAAATTTTGTTGTGTCATTGTTACGTATAATTTTTATCGATTCTGTTTCTCTTATTTGGATAGTTTAAGAGATTTAATATTTTTGAACTTAATATTGCTGCTATCTTCATATGTAAGAAACTTTTTAACTATTTATAAACATGATTTCATGGAAAAATAATTCGAGACAGGGTTAACTGATTAACAAATATAGAAATAAGGAATTCAATATTTTTCAGTGATCCAATAGTATTTTTTTTTTTTTTTCTATACTCATAATTTCTATCGACATTTCAAATTACAGATAAAATAAATAGCTAATAAAACTTTTTCATTTTTAAATTATTTAATAAATAATATTGACACCAGCAAAAAGAAGAAGAGGTATTAGCTATTGTAATTTATACCGCAAAGAGACAGACAATAGTCCGTATAATACAAACTTTTATCAAGGCGACTTAATTTAAGCAACGTTCACACGGAAACGTAGACTGATAAATTATTGACAAGTTGAACCGAGTTTAACGAAGGCTTATGCCGTCGAGTATTTCCAAGCAACGTGGAAAATTGGATCGGGCCATCAACAACAATTCCTTCGCTCTTATTATGCAACACGTAGCTCTTTGATAGAGTTACCGCATAGATATAGCGAGAG